ACACTCACTGCAAATGAGCAGTGGTCTGGTTTACAGACAGGAAATATTGATCAATACTGACACCTTTGAAGCCACCCCACCTCTTCCTTTGCATTTGCTCCGAGTAACACCTGTCTTGCAATACAGCTGCCCTCAGATCTTCATGAAAGCCCCAACAAGCAGTAAACCTTGCTGCCATCAAAGAAATGACTGAAGACACCAGATATACTCTTTAATTTTTTTTTTACTAATATAGTCATAGCATTTTAATTGCTTGCAAATGAATTTTTGGTCCCAAAATGTTGCCTTTCAGCTATTGTGGTGATGCAGAATAGAAATTTGGAGGAGGAGGAAACATGGTGGTGGGTTTGGAAGCTGTGTCTGGAGGGCAGGGAAAAATCTTTTGCAGGATGTCTCTTGTCCTGAGGCTTGAAGAAAACTACTTCAATACTCCCCATTTCTATTGCCCATAGCTACACTCAGTGAACTCCAATGTGAAATCATTCTCCTCGGCAGAGGAAAAGCAATATAATATAATTTGGGTCCTCAAAATAATGATTCTTAAAGGGAAACAGGAAAAAAACCTCATATTTCACATAGACAGGTTTGCTTGGAAATGCAGGTGGGTAATCTGTGGGTGTATGTGGAGGAGGGTTACCAACTCCCTCCTTCCCACCTGCTGAAGTCTGGGCTGTCCCAGGGCTTTCTCTTCCTGTAAAGCTCAGAGAAGGGAGAAGGGGTGGTGAGGCTCAGCACAGAGGGGGCCATGATCAGGTTCTGCCAGACAGGAGGGAGGAGTTCAATGAAGAGGAAAAAAAGAAAAGAAAAAGAATGGCCCATACAGAGATCAAACTCACAGCATTGGTGTTGTTTTCAGCACCATGCTCTGATCTACTGAGATAACCCAGGGTCAACAGCAATAGGTCTGCAACAGTGGTCAGGACCCAGGCATGAACAAAAGTGACCTCAGGGCTGCTTTTCTTTTGGGTCAGCTGAGCATCTCCAAAGCTCCAAGCCCTCAAATTTTAGGAACTGCAGAGGACAAAGGGGATGGACAGTAAAAAACCCTTTCTAGCTGATAAGCACCCTAGCACTGCTGACTCCAGCTGCCTGTGATGGCTTAACTACTCTCTGGTTTCATTCAGACACAAGAAACTCTGGTCAAAGTCATCAGAAGTTTAGGTCCAGCAAAGACCAAGTTTTGGGGACTTTCAGTGGAAAAGAAGTCTCTTAATTAAGAATAAACTTTACTATTATTGGGTAATCAGCAAAATGCAGGAGCTAAAGAAGGATGGAGCAATTAAGGGACAATTGTGATTTCAGGCTCCTACATGCTGGGAAAGGTTTGTAAGACAAACAGGAGGTGAGAGAGCTCTGTGAGTCTCGAGAGCTGCTCTCATGCAGCAGCCAGACGTCGAGCCCAGACTGTGTCCCTGCAGCAGCACCAGACACTTTGCACACTTCAATGAGTCAGGGGAAGTGAGATGACCCCAGAGAGGAACTTTTTATTTTCTTGTGGGTTTGGCGTTTTTTCCCTCAAAACCCCCAGCCCGATCCGATTTTTTTCCAGACTCTTTAATTTTTTTTTTTTTAATTAAAAGAAAAAAAAAAGAAAATCTGTGGCTCAGAAGCAGAAGCAAACTTTAGGCAGGGGATAAACGACGTGCTCAGCCACAATGAAACTCAAGGCAAAGTCTGTCTGCTCTGTTCATAGTGCTGGTTGGAAAACCAGAAAGCTCCCAATTAACTTTCCTGAAAGATTTTTCTTTGGGAGCAATTAATAAGTGCTTTGCAGTTTGACTCGCGTTATTAATTGGATTGGGGGGAGTTAAAAGCGCAAACGCTCTAGATGATTTTTTCCTAGGGTCTGTAAACGAAGCTAACAGATGGAACTGACCAGTAACGTGCATCTGGCAAGCCGGGTTTCTTATAAACTTTCCTCCAAACAAAACCATTTTGGTGGCTTTGTTGTTGTTTGAAGCGAAGTTGGGCTCCGGGCTGGCTGGGAGCGTGGCTGTGGGCTCTTCTGGGCTGCGTGTGCGTGGGAAGGGAGGCTGGAGGGGGAAGGGGTCGGGACGGGGGAGATCTCTGGAAAAACGGATGTCCTGCAGCGGGGGGATCTCCTGGCAGCCCGGGCAGCGAGCTGGGAACGCGCCGGCCCTTGCACCGGGCGCGCTTCCCCCGCGGCGCTCAGGGCGGGCTGCAGAAGAAGAGAATCGGTCCCCACATCGCTCCCTCACACCCGTGGTTTCCTGAAAATAAAATTAATGAGTGCGTAAAGGAACAAGTGTCTTGTGGGATAACTTGCTGGGAAAGGAGCGCCCTCGGTGACGGCGGGGGCTCGGTGCGCTCCGCGCTGCCTCTGCCTGGCTCGCCCTGCTCCTGTCCCCTCGCCGTCTGCGCCCTGTTCATGCGCTGAGCCGGGCTTGCTTGGCTAGGGCGAGAAAAACCTTTTCTCATCCCCTCTCAAAACAAAACCAAACCACATAGATGTGGCTAAAGTGGCAATATAACCAAATAACCAAAGTCAACAGAGCTGCGGAGTGCTCTGCCATGAGTGTTTGGGAGGGTGCTTGTCCTCCTTCTCGAAGGGAAGGCATGCCTCTCCTGCCTCTCCCTCCATGGGGAAGGTGCGTTCACGGTGTGTTAACTTTTTTTGTCAGGTCTAAGACTCCCTGCTCAAGGCTGGTGTGGCTGATTCCACTGCGCTCTCCACATTCCAAAGAGGTGTTGGAAAGGGCAAAGTTTGTTCACATCGTTAGGGTGGGTTTTGTCCTGTAGCTTTTTTCAATTCTCTCAAGTATCAAGATCTTGAGATCAAACAAAATCTGAACTTGGAAAAAATCTGGACTTTTTTTCAATTATATATTGGGGAAAAATTGGGGAGAAATATTTGGTTTCCTTCCTTCCTTCCTTCCTTCCTTCCTTCCTTCCTTCCTTCCTTCCTTCCTTCCTTCCTTCCTTCCTTCCTTCCTTCCTTCCTTCCTTCCTTCCTTCCTTCCTTCCTTCCTTCCTTCCTTCCTTCCTTCCTTCCTTCCTTCCTTCCTTCCTTCCTTCCTTCCTTCCTTCCTTCCTTCCTTCCTTCCTTCCTTCCTTCCTTCCTTCCTTCCTTCCTTCCTTCCTTCCTTCCTTCCTTCCTTCCTTCCTTCTTCCTTCCTTCCTTCCTTCCTTCCTTCCTTCCTTCCTTCCCTCCTTCCCTCCTTCCCTCCCTCCTTCCCTCCTTCCCTCCTTCCCTCCTTCCTTCCCTCCTTCCCCGCTAGGCCGGGCGGGGCGGGGGTCTCGGGTGGAGCCCCGCTCCCCAGCAGCGCTCTGGAGAGGTGTGATGCGTTCCCGCTGCCCCCCCGCCCGCCGGGATACCCGCACTTTCCCATCTCAGACAATGCATTTCCATTCCAGTCGTGTGCCTTTGTCCATTTGTAGGAAGAAAAGAGGGCTGAGTGACAGCTCCTGTTAGCCTGCATGAACAGATACCAATAAACCCTCCCAAAACCTGGACCTTAAAAAATAAATAAATAAATAAAGAGGAAAGAGCAAGGCAGGGAGCCACATGCCTCTTTGCCTCCGGCTTATTATTAAGACACCTTCGCAGCTTAAACGCTTAAACGCGACCCAAATTAAATGGCAATTAAAAGCAAGTTACACCCTCTCCTATCTCCAGGCTTATCTCGGGTGGAAGCTAGCCATCAGCAGAGCCTCCCCGTCGGGAAATGCCATTTGGGCTGGCATCTTCGCGGAGGGTGTGCGAGCTCCCCCCCCTCCACCCCGAGCTCGCCCGGCAGCGGGCGGCGCCCCCGGCGCTCCCCGGGCGGAGCCCGCAGTCGCTGCGGGGCCTCGGAGCCGCTACCTGGGGCCAGAAGAGCAGGGGGCGCCGGGCAGGCACACGGGACTCATTCCCCGAGTGGCAGCTCCTCGGACCGGTGTCACTAAATAAATAAATCACGTACCCCCTTCAGCTTTGCAACCCGGGGCTACGCAGCCTCCTTGCGTTCCCATCGCCAAAATATATCGGCACTTGGAAATGTCGAACCAGCTATCAGTGGTCTTTAGCTCTTACGTCCCCTTCCCTATTTTTCTTTCGCCTGTTACAGATGTAATTCCGTAGATCTATATGTATTTTATGTATAATACCATAATATCATATGTCACTGCAGTGCTACTTTGTGGTCTCACCCTAGTTTTATGTTTGAAAATGCTATTTAAAGAAGCCTGTAAGTTAACATATTAGGCAGCTTTAAAAGCAGGTTGGAGTGTGGGGTGGACTTAAATTCGATGTAAATGAAAGGGTAAAAAAAAAAAAATACAAACCCAAACCAAAACAAACCACATAGTTTTCATTTAGGAAAAAAAAATACACTTAAACAGACACACATACAAATGTGCAATCTTAGATTCTGGTCAGTATTTAGAAGCAGTATAATCAACAGGAAGGATCACTTACCTATTGAAAAGGATGGTTTAATAATATATATTTGTATATATTAGCTTTATATCTTCCCAATAAAATGTACACAAAATACCCCCTTCGATCAGATTAGTTCCCATATTAGCCTGGGTAAGAAAAAGCATTCTAAAGAGTGGAGGAAAAATTGTATAAAAATGTTGAAAGAACCTACAGTTCCTTATTAGGCGAAGATACAATATTTATTCCTTGTCTCCTGGGATGAAGCTCCTCTATCTATTGTCCTCCCAGTTCTCAGTGCTGATGCTTAATTTTCAAAACTTCTATATTACCAAGGGACCTACGACATCAGCCAAAGAAATACCCAGCAAGTACAAAATCTGATCCAGGGAGCAGCTTTTGTGCAGAGGGAAAATTTTGTTCCTACAGGTTTTTAAGGAGGTGCATGGAAAAGCGAGAGATCTGATCTATGCAGATACATTGCAAATTCTCTCTGTCTGTAGAGATTTTTTCTAAAAAAAATTGGGGAAATACATGAACTTTGGATTTTTCAATTTTTTCCTTTTTTTTTTTTTTTTTTTTTTTTTTTAATTTGGAGAGGGGAGTTTTATCCAGAGTTGGGGGTTTTTTCCTCTTCTTTTTTTTTTTTTTTTTTTTTTTTGGAGAACCAAAAAATGTCAACTACCTTTCCAGGTCTCGTCCACGATGCAGAGGTATTTTGTGTGTGTGAGTGTGTGTCTGTGTGTGTGTGGATGTGTGTGTGTGTGCGCGCGTGTGTGTGGATGTGTGTGTGCATCTGTGTGTGTGTGTATGTGCCTGTGTGGTTGTTTCCATTTTTTTAAAATCCATATTGGACCGTTACGTTTAATTATAATCCGGCTTCAGAGATAACTTAAAGAAGTATAGAGAGAAAATTCGTTATGACATCTGTCGCCAGCAAGGGCAACTCATTACCACGTTAAAACCGTTGCCAGAACGAAAATCAGAATAATACCCCTAATAATATAATGAAGTGGAGAGAAATCACCACCAGCTCGCCAGGAATGGGGAGTTCTCGCTAAAAAGCAGGACTCTCCTTTCTTTCGAAACGCAGGGAAAAGAGGGGGGGAATTTTGGATCTGATTCGTTATTTTAAAAAGAAAGAAAAATAGGGGTTCAAAAAAAAAAAAAAAAAAGAAGGGAAGGAAGGAAGGAAGAAAGGAAGGAAGGCAAGCAGGCGGCAAAGCTTTCTCAATGTGTAACGCTGTAACATAGGGACGGGACTTGTGTGTATTCTCGGTAGTTTCCTCTGTTTGATGACTTTTTTTTGTGTCAGCCCCAGATATTACAGCTGTGATCAGGAGGTGGATGGATAGATGGATAGATAGATGAATGAATAGATGGATAGATAGATAGATAGATAGATAGATAGATAGATAGATAGATAGATAGTTTTTATTTCAGTGCGTGGATTCCTTTCGCTTGACAGTATTAAGGGCAGTCTGGGCTGTTTATGATTTTTTGAACAGACCTTTATGGCACCAGCCCAAGGTAGGAAAGGATCTTTTGTTGCTGGGGTTGCCGCTCGCAGGCTTAGACGCTTCTGCAGGGGGAGAAGCTATGCAGGACAGCGTGCTTGGAAGAACCGTACCCGGGGTTTTCAATGACAAACCTCCAGTTTTGGGGTCTTCTTTTCACTTCTTCCTTTCAGATACGTCATGACGGATCAAACAGTTACCGTTTGATGCAGCTTGGATGCCTGGAGTCTGTGGCCAACTCGACCGTCGCCTATTCCTCCTCATCTCCTCTCACTTATTCTACCACGGGCACCGAGTTCGCCTCCCCGTACTTCTCCACTAACCACCAGTACACCCCACTGCACCACCAGTCCTTCCACTACGAGTTCCAACACAGCCACCCGGCAGTCAACCCCGACGCTTACTCCTTGAACTCTCTCCACCACTCCCAGCAATATTACCAGCAGATCCACCATGGAGAACCCACTGATTTTATCAACCTGCACAATGCGCGGGCACTCAAGTCCTCCTGCTTGGACGAGCAGAGGAGAGAGCTGGGGTGCTTAGATGCTTACCGCCGCCACGACCTGTCTCTTATGAGCCATGGATCCCAATATGGGATGCATCCAGATCAAAGACTCCTGCCAGGACCAAGCCTCGGGCTTGCAGCCTCGGGAGCAGACGATTTGCAGGTAAATAGCATGCGATCTCCTTTCGAGGTACCTTCCCCTCCCCTCCCCCTGTCCTGGACCCCCCCACCACCCCCACCCCCACCCTCATTTTCCTGTGCTCGGAACAGCTCATACAAAGGAGGGAAGATTCATCCCAAACCCGAACCAGCGCCCGTTCCTTCCAGATTAGTAGCAGCAAGAAAAAAATGTGGAAGGGGAAAGAAAAAAAAAAAATCAACTAAACAAGTGGTCTTCTTTAGCCAAAGAAACAAATTAAACAAAACCAACCTCGCGCCTGCCTTTGCCGCGTGGGTGGTGTCTCTGTGGTGGCTGAGACCGTGGGGGTCCCCCGGAGATCTCGGGGTGAATTTGCGTGTGCCAGCCCTTACCCAGTCACACAGAACCCGAATCAAACCAGAACAAACCCATCTCCTTGCTTTTCCTAAACTTTTTCTCTCTTTCGGCGCAAGGAGCACTTTGCAGCGACAGAGTAGGCAAATGATTCAAGGAAGGCATGGAGTAGGAAAAGAGAAAAAAGGCTGGGCAGGAAATAAATCTGCTTTCCGACAGATCTACAAAGACAAACCTTCCGAGATATGAGGGAGGAAAGAGATAAACGGGAGCAAATGTTTGTCAGAAAAAAGTCAGAGTTATAAAAATGCCTCGCTATATCCGATCTAGGTGTTAATAGGGTGAGAGATAAAGCTGATAAAGCTAAATTAGTCTGTCTATCTATCTAATCATTCATCCACTCCACCCTAACCGGCACCTGGACGTATCTAAATTTTTTTTTCTGTGTATCAGAAGCTCAGCTTTATCCGCTCAAAAATCCTTTTCCACGCGATAAAAATTCACCTCCGCCAAATTGAGCCGGTTGCTTAAATTGGTTTCCAAAATTGCAAAGAACGTCATCCTGTATCTAACCTCCATTCCGAAATGTGCACCAAATCAAAAGCAAACCTTCCTTCCCCCGACGAGCTGAGGAACTGAGGGCTTCCCCATCAGCAGGGAGAGACAAACGGGACCGTGTTTACTGTACTTACTTTTCCCCCACACCTCGCTCCCTGGCATACAAAGCTGCCTATGGTGGTCTTTCCAAAAAGATGTAGCGGTCAAAGGCATGGGGGGGAAAAATCAACCCGAAATTTGTAAAATTAATAAGGTATATTTTCTTTCCTTAAAATCAAAGCACGAAAAATAGTCCAAACAATCAATCTGTATCAGGGAAAATAATTATTATTTTTTTTTACTAGGAGGAAAATGAATCCACCAACAAATAATGTTATCTTTTATAACTCAGATGAGGAAAACCTAGCTATTTAAACACAGTTTTCTCCACTAAAATTCACTATATAATTTTGCCCTCTCTGGCCATTTTTTTTGTTTACATTTTTCACAAGGATCCCCTTATGTCATCCCCCTCAAAAAAAAAAAAAAAAAATCTGCCATTCACTGCTCAACCCCAACTAAAACCTATTTACTCCTTTTTATAACCACGTCTGCTGCTGATTTTTTTGTATCTGTACAAATTTTTTTTCTTTGGCAGGCACAAAGCCTTGTATTTTTCAAAAGAGGGGATTAGGAACGTTTGCAAGACAGCAGACAATGCCTAAGTCCCGGGCAAAAAAGCACCATAGTTTATCCAATTTTCGACTTAGTGCCATTCAACTGGTCATTTATGCAATGTCATCCGACCAAACAACATGTTTCCCTTCTAAAAAGAAAAAAAAAAAAAAAAAGGTTGGTTAAGCTGCTAGAGGCATAGTCTCTTTTTATTTATTTAACGAAGAAGAAAATCAACAGCTTTCCTTTGGAAAATATTAATTTTTTCGATCACAAGTTATTATCAAATAAGATACTTAGGTCTTTGTACTTAATCTCTTCTTTATTTTTTCCTCCTCCCTCTTTTTCCGAACACAAGAGGGAGTGTGCAGAGGTATCATAAAGCCTGGGCGGTGATAAATTGAAAATATTAGTATTTGTCGTTAGGACTTGGATGATTCACAGCAAATTTGGGTTCTCGCGAATATCACTGCGGGTGCAGAGGGAAGCGTTCTGGTCGCAAGCACAAACAGGAGTGCACAGAAATACTTTTAAACCAAAATTGTGGTCTAACCAGTCTACCCCTTTCTCCTTAGTCTTTCTTTTTAAAACGTTCATCAGCATATGCCTCATTTCAAATGCAACAAATGTAAATATACTTTTCCCTGCACAGAATTTTAAGTGAATGTCCAATAGTTTCGAGGGCGGTTTAAGTCAGCCTAACAGATGCAAACAGTCTTGGAGCTGGAGTGGCATCTTTCAGTGCCCTAAAAAGATTTTCCATGGGCAACAAAGAAAACTGTCACACCTTTTCCCATCACCGCTTTAATTTATGCTCAGTCGCCAAGTTTTTTTCATATTGATTTCATAATCACTTTAAGGCAGAACACTTAAAATAAAAAAGGGCCTTGAAAAGGAAGGTCTTACAGGGCCAGGGCCAATATGGTGAAAGTGGGGGAGAGAGCCAGGACTGTAAAGATTGTTTTGTAAAGTGGGGTTTTTATTATGCACCGACTCTCTCCGCATTTACTTAACTCTTCACGGGCTGTTGAATAGGTTAACACCCTTAAAGGCCTCTTTCATGTCCAATACCTCGTTTGTTTGTAGAGGAAAATGCGTCTTTAACACATTTCCACTGGGCAAAGATTTAGGTTTGGTTTGTTGTGTTTTTTTAACCCCAACATAAGGAAAAACCCAAAGAAAACTCAACCCTTTCAAGTCTTTTATCACTCCAATAAAAATATTTATTAAGGAGGGCGAAGATCCCCAAATAATCAGCCTTGTAGCAGGAGAATAAAGAAGTGAGATCTCTTCGGACGCGCACCAGAAGCCCTAGGCAGGTTTTTTGATGGCTCTTCACCCCTTGCTCACACATGGGTGCCTGTGTGTGAGCGCACACAGATGCATATTCATCCCCACCTATGTGCGGACGCACGCATTGTTACAGCACCCTCACGACTCTGTGGAGCCGGCAAAGCCCAATAGGTCATCTGTTGTTTGTGCTCTTTGTCTACTTCTGTGCGCACTTTCTAAGTCGGTGTATGCGTGTCCCAAAACATAACTGAATTTAGCTGTGCCCGAATATAAACATACCACTAAACACACAAAACCAGAAAAGTACATTTTTAGCTTTGTGTGTGCAACTGTGGAGCGGGAATGCACTTTTCTCAAAAGTACTTGTTTGTCTGTCTATCCTGCTATGTAACTGCCGGTCTAAGTGGCCAGTTCGGGATAAATTCGTATTTAAATGGCAATGAAAGGAAAATTATTCTGCGTTTGGTGGGGTAGGGGCAGATGGCAGGATGGAGGGGGGATTTCACGTGGGTTCGCTGTGAGTAACTATGTTTTTCCAGTTCACCTTAACTATTGTTCTTGGGCGAGTCATATAACAAAACAAAAGCTGTGTGATCTCTCTGTGGGTTTCTGTGTCTGATTTCTTTCTTTCCTTTCTTTCCTTGCTTTCCCCTCATTACTTAAGAGCTCAGTGGAGGCCCAGTGTGGACTGGTACTCAACGGGCAAGGAGGTGTGATAAGAAGAGGTAAGAGGTTACAAATACTTGCGTCTATCAGTTTTTGTAAACACACATCCCTTTCCATCTCTCCCTGCCTTTCCCTCCCCCACTGTTTGGCGTAGTTTGGACGTACTGCCGAAAAAGTGGTAATTTGCTGTTTGTCAGAAGTACGCTTAGAGCACTTCGCATTTCACAGTCCATTTGCACTTTACAAACGATCTGCTCCTCGGTAGCTCTCGGATACTCCCTCTGAATTCAGAGTTTTCCTGACTCGGTGTAACATTCCGCGTTTAATCGGGATGATCCCTGATAGTTTGAAAAACGTGTTCGCTGGCGCCGGGCTGTTAAATCGGTAGTTTGGTCTCGTGTGAGGGAAAAAAAAAAAAAAAAGAGTTTTTTGGGAAATGTGGTTTCAGTAGCGCTACAGACCGGTGTGGAACTCTTGTCACTTCATTTGATAACCATCTGTCAGTGTAAATATCGAACATCAAAGTTAGAGGAGAGCTTTGGAACTCGTGTTAAGTACACGTCTTTACATAATTTGCGAAATTTGAATGTCCCGGGGAGTTTATTACCGTCATTTACCCTGAAGAGGAACAACACTGGTCTAAAGGCCTAACGCAGGAACACATTTGTCTTACAAGCTAAAACACATCCTTTCATTCTCGATATAAACCACATAATGCAGTCGGGGAGAGGACACTCGGCGACTCAGCCTCTCACAGTGCTCATTTTCTCGTGCTATTACCCCTTACTCATGATATCCAACAGGAAAAACAGATACCTAGGAGACATTCTGGGTGACGTGATACTCTTGTGTCAGGGAGCTGCTTTCAGCCGTCACTTCCCCAGACAAACTTCAGTCCCACCGACACAAAATTGTTTATTGCAGGAGCTGCGGTGGGCGGGGATGGGGAGCGGGCTCTCAGGTCGGTGTCCCCGGGGAGGGGGCTTTGCTGGGGGCTGTGTCCGTGCCCCGCTCAGGCCGGTGTCCCCGGGGAGGGGGCTTTGCTCGGGGCTCTGTCCGTGCCCCGCTCAGGCCGGTGTCCCCGGGGACGGGGCTCTGCTCGGGGCTCAGGCCGGGCCGGTCGCGGCGCTGCGGGCGGAGGAGCGGCGGACCGGGAGGCGGCGGCGGTGGCGGTGGTGCTGAAGGGACAGCTCCCCTCGGCCGCCGCCGCCGAGCCCGGGGACAGGGCGGGGACACGGCGGGGACACGGCGGGGACACGGCGGGGACACGGCGGAGATGCCAAAGCTGCGGTCCCCTCCATCCCTGAGCGCCGCTGGCGGGATGCTGAGGAGAGTGACCTCGAATTCCTGCCCCACTGCCGGCTCCTGCCCAAGTCCTTGTGTCTAGGATTTCAGCGCCTTCTAATTATCCCCAGGAAGGAGGATAATTATCTCTAGGAACAGGGATAATTCTTTCGGGTTTGATCCGAGAGCTGACCTCCGAGAAGCGGGGATTGTTAGCTGAAAGAGAGGCAGGCAGAGTCCCCATCAGCTTGGGTCTGTGTCTGTCGTGTTTGACGACGGTTCTCATTTCCCAGTTGAAGGGCGGCTCAAAGCTCAGCTCAGCTCAACTCCAGCTTATTCAGCTCTGCAGCTCCTCTTAAGGAGACTCCAATTACCTGTGTAGATGATGGTAGTGGTGTCTCTCTCTCCCTCTCTCTTTTTAAAGAGATCAAATTATTCAAGCATTTAAAGATTGATACTAAAAGAAATCCAGCATGAAAATGCAAGGTCTTCTGAACCCTGATTTGAGTGCCGAACTACTCCTGCACTGCTATGTGTTTCTTGGCATATCCAGAGAAGATATCAAAGGCAAGAGTATAAGTTTCAAATGTATATTAAAAATACATAATAAATATTTTGTCCGACTTCAAAAAAAGCGATAGGTGTTAGCAGTAATCAAAACATCCTGTGCCTAAGCGCTATACAGTATCCCGTATAAATAAATCACACTTCTTCTCTAGTAATAGATCAATAAGAATATATTAACTCGAGAGTGGCTTCCCTAATATTTTAAACATCTCGTGTCAGACTTTTTATTTTATATTTTGTCACTAATATATACATATATTTTGTACAAGGTTGCTTTTGAGTGTTTTAAATGAGTAGCAGGAGGAAAGGGGGAGAAGGAAGGAAGGAAGGAAGGAAGGAAGGAAGGAAGGAAGGAAGGAAGGAAGGAAGGAAGGAAGGAAGGAAGGAAGGAAGGAAGGAAGGAAGGAAGGAAGGAAGGAAGGAAGGAAGAGGAAGGAAGGAAGGAAGGAAGGAAGGAAGAAGGAAGGAAGGAAGGAAGGAAGGAAGGAAGAAGGAAGGAAGGAAGGAAGGAAGGAAGGAAGGAAGGAAGGAAGGAAGGAAGGAAGGAAGGAAGGAAGGAAGGAAGGAAGGAAGGAAGGAAGGAAGGAAGGAAGGAAGGAAGGAAGGAAGGAAGGAAGGAAGGAAGGAAGGAAGGAAGGAAGGAAGGAAGGAAGGAAGGAAGGAAGGAAGGAAGGAAGGAAGGAAGGAAAGGAAGGAAGGAGGGAAGGA